ATTCTTCATAAAGACCAAAACCTGAGAAGTTGCTCAGGACAGGAAACCTCTTGGAGTCAAATTGGATTATATTTTGATGCAGCTTAAGCGTGACATCGCTGGGAGAATAAATAGCAAGTTGGGGAGGGTGAGGAAGGAGCAAGGTGCAGGGAATGATGCACATCCCACAGCAGCAGCAGCATCAGCAGGGGGAACAGAACAGCTGAGATGTTACTTTGCCTTGCTGAGACACCGAGTGTGCCAGCAGGCTGGGTTCACTCCACAGGTGGAATTCTTGGGAGAGCTTTCCCTGCCAGCCCTGATTGCTGTGTGTGCTCAGAGTGGCTCAGGGCTGGTCCTGTGTGCCCCTGGCTGTGCCCAGGGCTGTTTCTGTATGCCCCTGGTGTGCCCAAGGCTGTTTCTGTATGCCCCTGGTGTGCCCAGGGCTGGTTCTGTATGCCCCTGCTGTGCCCAGTGCTGTTTCTGTATGCCCCTGGTGTGCCCAGGGCTGGTTCTGTATGCCCCTGGTGTGCCCAGGGCTGTTTCTGTATGCCCCTGGTGTGCCCAGGGCTGGTTCTGTGTGCCCCTGGCTGTGCCCAGAGCTGTTCTGTGTGCCCCTGGTGTGCCCAGGTCTGGTTCTGTGTGCCCTGGCTGTGCCCAGGGCTGTTCTGTGTGCCCCTGGTGTGCCCAGGGCTGGTTCTGTGTGCCCTGGCTGTGTCCAGGGCTGCTCTGTGTGTCCCTGGTGTTCCTAGGGCTGGTTCTGTGTGCTCCTTGCCATGCCCAGGGCTGGTTCTGTGTGCCCCTGGTGTGCCCAGGGCTGCTCTGTGTGCTCTGGCTGTGCCCAGAGCTGTTCAGTGTGCCCAGGGCTGCTCTGTGTGCCCATGCCATGCTCAGCAGTCCCGTGCCTCAGTGCTCTGTGTGTGCCCAGGCAGGTTTGTCCTCCAGGGGAAGCCCACCCTGCCACTTCAGTGCTCTTTGTCTCTTCCTCGCCGCAGCCTCCCAGGATGGGTCTGCACATCAGGGCTTTCAAACCCTTCCCTCCCGTGTGTTGTGTCATCAGGGCTCACCCTGGCTGTGGAGAAGGTGACATTTGCCACGAGAACTGGCACTGATCCCCAAATCACCCCAACCACTGTTTTCTCAGTGAGCTGCCTTCAGTCTGCAAATTGCCTGCAATGAGCTCGTTGTCCAGGCTGGTCTTGGGACTAAACAGGATGAGTGGTTTTGGATGATCCAGAGCCACAGCAGCTGCTGCTGCAGGGACTCAGCACAGCCACAGTAATCTGGCTAAACTGGATTTTAGGCTCAGAAAAGCTCTTTGCAGCACCCACCTATCCCCAGTCTATCGGGAGATTAACACTGAGGTTTGAAAAGGCAGCTAATGCTTCTGTGAGGAAAATGGATCTTTACCTCTGTTATCTTCAAAAGCCAAGGAGAGAAAGGCAGACTGAAAAACATGTCAACTTTCTTCCCCACAGCCCACAAATACTCTTCTTAAATGTAAGTAAACACATTTTTCCTCGCAGCAAAACAACCTTAACTCTGACCCTGGAGCACTCACAACAGCGTATGAGACTGTTTTGATTCTCTTTTGAGATTTGTATTTCCTCCTCAGATCTGTGGGGTTTTAAGCCAGAAATGAAGAGTAAATTCTTTGCTTTCTATTAAGCTGGAGCAGTGTCACAGCTCCTTGATTATCCCCAGGGGATTTATCACAGTCGTGTATTAACCACAGTGTGGGCACAGACACCAGCACTGGCTTGGGACCAGCAGGATGTGGAGCTCCAGAATTCCTGCCACACTGGCAGTGCAGTAGTGAAGCGGTTTCAGTGCTTTCCTGGGGAGCAGAATGTGTTCAGGAGCCCCGAGGATGGCAGTGAATCCTGCTGGAGCCATTGGGGTGCCTCTGCATCAGAGCCCCCAAAGGCCCAGGAAAGCCCCCTGGTTCCAGGCACAGCACCTCCAGAGCATGAAAAGCCAGCAGGGATGTGCCAGCAGATCCCAGCCCAGATGTGCAGGCATATCCCAGCCCAGATGTGCAGGCAGATCCCAGCCCAGATGTGCCAGCAGATCCCAGCCCAGATGTGCCAGCAGATCCCAGTCCAGATGTGCAGGCAGATCCCAGCCCAGATGTGCAGGCATATCCCAGCCCAGATGTGCAGGCAGATCCCAGCCCAGATGTGCCGGCAGATCCCAGCCCAGATGTGCAGGCCAATCCCAGCCCAGATGTGCAGGCCGATCCCAGCCCAGATGCGCCAGCAGAGCTGGGGACAGGGGCTGTGCTGAGGGCTGTGCCTGGCAGTGTGTGCTCGGAGCAGCTGCTGCCCTGCCCAGCGCTGCCCCAGGGTGTCCCCATGGGCAGGACCCAGCCAGGGCACCCGAGCCTTGTGCCAGCACAGACCAGCACACCTGATTAAACACACAGCCTTGACTGGAGGCACTGCCAGAGCCAGGCCCCACTTCTCCAAGGTGTCCTTGATTCCTTCCAGCTCAGGTCCTGGGGTTGGAGGAATGTTGCTGCAGCCCAGGATGGAGGAGAGCTGCAATTATTTGGGGCTGACAGGATTTCAGATTCCTTCTGATAGGATCCCGATAGCTCGTTCTGTGTAAGTGGAGTTTCCAAGATGGAGCTCTTACATAACCAGAAATGACTTTTTGAGGGAAGTTTTGGTCCTCCCACTTTGCCAAGCTGTCCTTTCCACAAGAATTGCAAGGTGTCCTTTGGTTGGAAGGACAGCAGGGATGCTGAAGCCAGGGATATTAACTCTATCCAAGAATATCCTTTAAATGTGAATCCATGCTCGGCTCTTCTCCTGGCTCCCTTTTTTCCCAGTGCAAGCAGCAGAAAGTCAGGAAGCACAGGCAGTGCTGGGGTGGAAGGAGCTGTGATGCTCTGGGTCCCAGCCTGGGTTATGTTACAACAGGACACAAAGTCCCGGGTGTTGCTGATGGAAAGCAGAGAAGTTGCAGTTACCATTCACACTCCTGTGCTCGTGCACGGACCAGCTCTTCTGGAATGTTCCTGGCCCTCCTCTCCCAGGTGAGCCAAGGAGGTGCTGGAGGGCACTGGATCAGAATTCCCTGTGACACCAGCAGCTCTTTGCAGCAGGAGCTTCTCAGTGTGGAAGGTGTTTGTTCCCAGCCCTCACAGTTGTTCCTGTGTGCTCCAGGAGCGCTCCCTGGTTTTCTGCTGCACGGCAATGCAGGTGTATTCCAAGGAGGGGGCAGGAGCTGGGAGCTCCTGAGACACTTGGAACTGGAGCTGTCCCACCTGCAGCTCACACATCTGCAGTTCATAAAGACAATTACTCTGGGAATCCCTGAGCTGTGGTGCAGCTCCTTGGCAGGTGCCCCAGCCCAGGCAGGGGCTCTGTTCCCATCCGGTGGCTCTGGTGTTACAGCCCAGATCCCAAGGTGCAGAGTAGAAGCTGAATCCACCTTCTGTCTCTGCATGCACCAAAGAAAGGCTCCACCCTGACTGGGATAGATCCCAGCCCTGCTCTCAGGAGCTCCATATCCATCACCTGCTCCCTGAGCCATCCATGCCCTCGGGCTCTTCGCTGCCTGCTTTTCATCTATCAGAGGAAGGCAGGCACTTCCTCAGCCTGACACGGCTTCTCCCTGCCCCTGGCTGGAGTTCCCTGCCTTACAGCAGGGCTGGAGCTCTTTGAAAAACACCCGGAGGTGTGAGAGGAAAAGTCATTAGCACAGAAAAACCCTGGTGGCACGAAAAGATCTTTCTGCAAACTGCTGCTCCAGCTTCATTAAAAAAAGCACAGCCCCGGGCTCTCATTCCAACAGGATGGATTCGCTCTGGGTTATCTAAATGAGAATGATCATTTCTGCAGGGGGAGGAAAAAAGAGGAAACCAGGAGGAATTATTCTGTATGAATTATGTGCTCAGCTTTCTTACTGACCTATTGAGACAGCAGCGAGAGCTGGATTTCCTAGAACAGCCTTTCATGCTGGATTTTGGAAATATTCTTCTTTTCAGCCTTGAAAGATCACTGGAATGGCCTTTCTCACACTGGCAGTGTGGGCTCCAGCCTGGATGCAGGGAAATAACAGAGTTAGCAGCAGTTTTCCACATCATTCATCCTTCTGGATTACAGCATCCTTTGGGCTGCCTTCCTGCAGGATGAGAGGCCAGTCTGTGGTGTGGGCAAAGGTGGCAGGCACACCTTTGTGCCGTGATGTGGGAGGAGCAGGATTATCCCTGCTGGAGCAGCCAGGAGGTGTTTGGATTTGGCCACACATCACAGCCTGTGCCCCATGTCACAAACCTCGCTGCCACTCACGTCCCTTGGAAGGTGATGCCCTGGTGAGGGAGGCACTTGAACCCACCTAGATCAGGGGCTGTGTCGCTTCTCTAAGTGTAACTGCAACGTGAAACAATGTAAGAAAGTTGTGTTTGCAGCTTTATTTTCCACGTGGAGAAGTGACAGATGAGGAAAACCAGCCCTCTGTGCCTTGGTTCTCTTTCCCTTACCCACCTGGGCAGGGGTGTAGCAGCAGAACACAAGGAACACAAGAAAAGAGCTTAATCAGATCCTCTTCCAGAAGCCTCTGCTGAGTTAGAGGCCGTTCCTTGTTGCATTTGATACGTGCAGAGACTGCAGCTGACATCCAGTACAAAGGCAGCTGCTGCCATGGGTCACTGTGGAACACACACCCAGCAAGAACAGAAATCAAAGAAGGGCATTGCAGCTAAAAGATGGAAAGATAGAGTTGATTCCTGAGGAGTGGCTGATGGTCCAGAAATATTTGGAACCAGCTTATTTTAGAGAAGGAGCTATGGAGCTTTTAATGGAAAATTAGAAAGCAAAGTCTCAGGGCAGGAGGGCTAATGATGATTTTGTATTTTGGTATTGCAGCTGTTTTTCAGCTGGTTCTGGTTGCACACTGTTCCTGGTGCAGCTTCTCTGTGCCCTCAGCAGGGTCCTGGCCACTGACGCCGTGTGTGATTACACAGGGGGGTGTTTGGGGGAGCTGCCATCTAACCCGCTCCTGTGGGCCCGCAGATCTTCCACATGACCTACGACCTGGCCAGCGCCGTGGTGAGGATCGTCAACCTCATCGGCATGATGCTGCTGCTGTGCCACTGGGACGGCTGCCTGCAGTTCCTGGTGCCCATGCTGCAGGACTTCCCTGACGACTGCTGGGTGTCCCTCAACCGCATGGTGGTGAGTGCCCGACACACCTGGACCTGCTTGCCTTCCCTCCTCGCTTCCCTGCTTTGTCTTTTCCCCCTGTTTCCGCTCTTTTGCCGCTGCCTCTTCCCAAAGAGCGAGGCCGATGAGCAGAGGTGGTGTATTTTTCATCCCCTTGTTCATTCATAATAAATAATAAACAATAGTAATTATAAATAACCAGCTCAGAGATGGTGGGTGGGGTCTCCCCTCTGGAGCATCCCATGTGCCGTGCTCCCCATCCCACCTCTCAGCCCTCAACTCATCACCTGGATGATCCCCCTGCAGCAGCCACAGCCATCCTCCAGCTTCCCGTTCCTCCCTGCATCCCCCTGGCCAGCCTGGCACAGGGAGGCAGATCCTGCAGGACACAGAGCTGGGACAGGGAGGCAGATCCTGCAGGACACAGAGCTGGGACAGGGAGGCAGATCCTGCAGGACACAGAGCCGGGGTTTGGAGGCAGATCCTGCAGAGACACACACCCGGGACAGGGAGGCAGATCCTGCAGGACACAGAGGTGGGACGGGGAGGCAGATCCTGCAGGACACACACCTGGGACAGGGAGGCAGATCCTGCAGGACACAGAGCCAGGACAGGGAGGCAGATCCTGCAGGACACACACCCGGGACAGGGAGGCAGATCCTGCAGAACACACACCCGGGATACAGAGGCAGATCCCGCCCCGGCAGAGCCGCAGAAGGCAGGAGCCAGGCTCCCTCTCCTGGCACCGAGCAGCAAGGAGCAGGCATGGAAACTGCTTCCCGCTGGAATGTGAGTAAATGGAATCCCAGACACAGAGCTGGGGCTGATCCCTGATTGCCATTGCTGGTGCCTTTGCCCCATAGCCCCGGGAGGGTCGGTGTGACACCCACCCACTCCGGAGTGAGCCATGGTCAGGGCATGAGGAGCCAGCTGGTGCCATCCAAAGCTGTGCCCCTCTCTTGCTGGGAGGGAGTTTGACACCATATGGCAAAGGCACAGTGAATTCATGGTACCTTTCAAATATCTTGCTGAGAATTCAGGAGCTTTTATTCAAAGGGACAATGTCCAGTTGATTAAGCAGCAAAAACTGACAAAGCTTAAAAAATTGCCTCTTATTGCAGTTCTTAACCTCCAGATTCCCCCAGCCAATTTCTTCTTGAATAAAGGAAATAATCAGGCGCTGGGGCAGAACAGAACAAATGGAAAAATGTATCAAAGATGTGCCAGCCTGCCGTGCCTCCCACATGCAGGGCTGTGGGCACAGGCTGCCCGTGCCTGGAGGAGTGAGCATCCATGGAAAAGTCATTTGTTTGCTGTTTATTTATTCATTTCTCCTCTCTGCAATAATGGTTCGCTTCCTGCTGCTGCAAGGTGCCAGACAGCCAGGTCTGGAGCCTGGAACCCTCCCTCTGCTTATCTCCAGCAGAACAACAACCCGTGCAGCAGCTGCCTGGGCTTCCCCATGCTGCCTTTGTATCATTTCTGTGCCAGGAGCAGTCAGAGATGGGGGCCCCATTGTGCTGCTCAGGGCCAGGAGGACGCTCAGCTCCTCATGCCAGGGAGCTCAGAGGTGCAGGTGGCCTCGTCCCCATCCCAGGGATGATTTGCAGGATGGCTTCAGAGCAGCACATTCAGCCCACAATTCCCATCTGGCTGCTGATGGCACAGCAGCTCCTGGCTCTCCCCATCTATCCCTCGGGAAGAGGTACAAGCTGGGGGTGAAGCTGGCAGCTGTAGCCAGGGGAACAGGTCTGCAGAAGTAGCAGGACATGGGACAGAGGAAGAAAAGATTTAGCCAAGGCAAATCTTAGCAGCAGGGCTGGGGAGAGGGGGGAGGATGCATTCCAGAGGCAGGAAGGCTCAGCAGGCTCCAGGAGGGCAGGGGAGGGAACTCCTATCCAGAGCAGGGCTCTCCTCATGCTGCAGCCTTGTCTTCCCAGCCTTGAGAGCCTCTGAAGCTGGGAATTAAACTCGCCTTGGGGGGATTTTTTTCTGCTTCTTCCCTCAGCTAAATCACCTTTTTTTTTGTTGTTGTTCCACTTAAAAGAAGTGAAAAAAAAAATCATTATCTCTGAAAATGGAGCCTCAGGAAAGTGGGATGGAGAACTGGAGAGATGCCCCACCTATAGTTCAAGGGGCTTCCACTCCAGAAGCTGTGCAGGAATATGCCAGCCCCAAAACAGCCTGGGGTTAGAATATTTAACAGAGTGCAGTAGTTCTTCAGGAACCAGATGTTTTCTCCCAGTAATGTCCCCTAATCTCCCAAGAAGATTTCCAGGTGTGTCACTGGGAGCAGTGGTGGATGTGGATGGCATTAGCAGTGAAACAATTTACATCTGATCTGGAGGGGACTATTGAGAGAGGCCATGGAGTCAGGAAAGAAGAAACTGGAGCTCCAGGCTGTTCTCAGGCTTTGGTGGCAGGATGTGGAAGGAAGGTTCCAGCATGGCTCTGTGTGATGGACATGGCTGGGAGGGGAGAGGTGCCAGGGAGCCGGGATTTTGGGACGTTCTGTACCGGCCTGGTCGGAGCTCTGAGGAGATAAATAAATATCCTTGGTGCACAGCTGCCCTGATTACACACAGGAGGCAGAAATCTGGGAAAAAGGAAGTCTTCGGAAGCTGCTACAGCCAAGGGGAGCTGGGAGTGAGGTCCAGATGCTTTGGAGGCTTTGTCCATGCGCTGGTGCTGCTCTTCCTCTGCTCCGGGGTTTCCCACCACTTGGCGCTCCATAAAACTAGCCCTGATTTCCATGCTGCAGGGAAAGAAGATTCATCACCTTCCATCTGCTTCCTAAAGGTTTGATCCTCATCCAGGGGATTTGTGAAGGGCCTGGTGTTGCCAAAATCATCTCAGGGCCTCGATAAATCCCCGAGTCTGGTTCATCTCGGTGTTTTCCACATGCCTCGTGTTCCATCTTCGGCAGCCGTGGAAGCAGTGGGTGTCTGGCTGACTCCTGAAACGGCAGGGCAGGATGTTTGCAGAATTAATTGCTGAGCCCCGATCCCAGGGGCTTCAGCGTTGGCTTTCCTGCAGTGCACTTTATTAAAACCTGGACTCACTGGTGAGTCAGCTGCAGAGTGTGCTGCTCCCCCAGAGCCGGCCGGGCAGCTCCTCTCCCAGAGATCTGAGCTCCGCTGAGCCCTGGGAGCTGCTGGGAACACGTGCTGACAGCAACCCTGCATGGATCTGTGATTCCCAACTGCCCCCGAGCCTGTGGGCCAGCACACCCCTCCTGCCCTCCCTCCCTCAGCAGGGCATTCCATGTCCTGTGAAGTGTGCCAGGAGCAGCAGGAGCTGCCCCAGCAGTATGGGACCCTGGAGCTGAGGTGACAGTGCCCTCCCCAGCTGGGGCCAAAACCAGTCCAAACCAGGGTGACCAGGGCAGAACAGCCCAGAACCGGTAACATTGATCTTTCCAGGGCAGGCAGGGTGACAGGCACCTCCAGGGGCTGGCCAGGGAGTCTGGCACAGCAGGGAAGGCTCCCAGGAAAGGCTGCCTGGGACAGCTGGGACAGGGGCACTCGGAGCCCTGAGAAGATCCCTGCTGCCAGGTGAAGGCCGTGTGGAGCTTCCCTTGGAAACAAGCCCAGAACAGGCAGGTTCTGTCCAAGGTGAAGTTTGACCTGTCATCTCCATGTGTTCCCCCGCTATTCCCATCCTTTAAACTGGATCTGGAGATGTGTTTTCCCAGCCCAGCAGTTCCAGGGATGGGCAGAGACAGCTCCTGAGTTCTCCAAGTGTTAATGGTGTAAGTCAGACATAACACCGTTCCCCAGGACTACACCCCTAGCCCAAGAGCTTCCAGTACTTTCTGTGTCTTTCCTTGTCTCACTGCTCCTGTCCAGTGAGGATTCAGCCACTGAATCCACAATCCACAGCCACACTCCCATGTACATCAGAACCAAAATACCCTGTCAGACACCACAGTTTGCCTCCAGGTGCTTCTGTAAGGTACTACAGAACCCAGCAGTGCTTTTGAAGTGTTCCAGGGAAGTGTCTCCAAGTATTCAAAGGTGGATCTGAGCAGGCCAGGCTCTAATGCCAGAGAAGCCCTTCCAGCGCTGCTAGGGTGGATGTTAAAAACAAACCTGAGAAACTGCTTCAAAGTCATTTCACTCCCTTCTGCAAAGTCTCTGGGTGCCTCTGAGATAACCCCGACTGTGAACGGCACAGATCTGTAGCTCTGCTTTTGCTTGCTTTGGGATTTGCTTAACAAGGAGTCATTTTCTCCCTGCAGTTTAAGGCTAATGGGCCATTTCAGCCACTCCAGGATCTGTGGAGCGGTGCTGCCCTGGGCACTGCTGTAGCTGGGTGTTAGGTTGGGTATGGCTCTTACAGGAACAACGAGCTGTGGCAGCGTGATAAACCCCTGTCCACACCGCATGTGCAGCCTCTTCTAGGCTGGCCTAAACTACTGTGGGCTTGACCTGTCTGCTCATCCTGTGGCAAACAAAAAGCCTGAGAACCAAAGCACAGAGCATCCAGCGCTCTTCACACTCGGTATCCTAAAGGTAATTGCTCTGAAAGGCTTCCCCTTCACACAAGTGCCTCTCTCTGAGCAGTCCTTGACGTGCTCTCCCAGCAGAGCTCGGTGCTCAGGGTTTGTTTGGAAAGCTCCGTGTTTTTCTCTCGCCCCCCCAGACTGTCATCCCTCAGTCTCAGTCTGGCACCCGCAGCCTGTCCTCACAGGAGCCCTGCTGCTGGGAATTGGGCTGGCACTTGAGCCGTGCAATTCCCAGGGAGCCAGCAGTGTCTGTGCAGGCTGCAGGGGCTCGGCGTGTTGGATGTTAGACTTTGGGATGACTAATTCCTACAAAACAGTGGCAAGCTTCCTTGTAAACAGCACTCCTGAGCAGCAAGTTGCTGGAAGAATGGCTTTTAAACCTCGAGCCTGCCTGGTACCCAGATGTTCACAGCATCTGACGAGCCTGGCAACCAACTACTGCTCTGCCTGCCCAGATTCCCTGTGGAATTTCAGCTCAGCTCCCTTTGTCTGTGGTGGAGATGTACTCCGACCTCGGAGGGCAGCAGCACTCCTGCAACAGCCTGTGTGGAGTGGGGCAGGAATTCACTCAGCAGGAGTGGGGCAGGAATTCATTCAGCAGGAGTGGGGCAGGAATTCATTCAGCAGGAGTGGGGCAGGAATTCATTCAGCAGGAGTGGGGCAGGAGAGCTGCACTGTGTCCTAGTGCCAGCTCCTGGAAGCACAGGATGCCTGTGCTGTGGGAGCCGTGTGAGGCTTGCTGCCTGCACGGAGCACGAGGGGCTCTGTGAAACACCACAAAAGCTGCGGGTAAGAAATGCACCCAGCCAGGCCCCCGAGCCACAGCACAGGCCTGGTGGCAGAGGCGCAGGAGGGGTCACTCCTTTGGCCTCACACCTCTGGCAGCTCCCGTGGCCAGATCCGGCCCTGGCCAGGGGACAAACTCCCTCTGCCCTGTCCTGCCTGCCCTTTGCTCCTTTGGGCTGCTGCTACTCACACACGAGCCAAGGCCACAACACTCACCAATGGCCACTTTGTCCCTTGCTCCTCTCTCTTGGCTCCAGGGTGGTTTTTACCAGGTTCCTGCTCTGTTGGGAGGGGAGCCCAGACGGGCTGGCGCTGGCAGGGAGGAGGAGCAGTCCATGCTGGGCTGTGGCTGTGCCACTGCTCCCGTGTGGGCTCTGCTGTCACTGGTGTGGCTTTGCTCTTCTTGTTGCAATGGGAATCAGGCCTGTCTTGCATAATGAAACTGAATCTGGCCAGGTCATGCTATCAGCTGGCTTTGTCCATGTCCTTATCTCCTAACCGAGCATGGGCAGAGGTTCCAGCCCTGTGCCACAGCTCCCAGCCAGCTCTGTCACCGTTTGCTGACGATCAGTGAAGAGTTTCCATGGGCATCAATGGCACTGAGAGCTGCTTGCAGAGAGGTCATCAGCCACCCCCCTGAGCGTGAGGAGATACCTCCAGGAGGTGCCCAGTGAACTCCAGAGCTCTGGCTGGCCACTCTGGTCCTCTGGATGAAGGCCACAGGAGAATTCTTTGTTTATTGACGAGCCTCCAGCAGGTCTGTGTAAGGTCAGGTCTGACCTCCCAAGGTGGCACATGTGTCTGCAGAGCTCCATCCGTAACCTTGGCCTGTCCCAGGACCAGGGGAGCAGCTGAGGAATGCCCAGCACTGCCACAAGTGTCACCCAGCAGAGGCATTTTTACATCCTCCTAAGAGCCATGTGTGGTGACAGAGCAGGCAGTCATGGAGGTTTCACAGCAAGAACTTGCTGGCAGATAACACCTACAGGATGGCAAATGCACCTCGAGCTGTTCCATGAGCTCAGGCTAATCAGAATCATCAGGAAACTTGTGCTGGTTTTTCTGCCTGTGCCATGATGTCACTGCTGAGGTGCTGCCTGTGTGAGCTGCAGTGGAGAGCACAAGGTGTCTCAGCACACCTCCCCTGGCAGGAGGCTGCTGCTCTCAAATGAGACCATTTCTAATTCCTCAGCTCTCTGGAAAGAGCCCAGTTTTGCACTGAGAAGAACTTGCTGTCCAGACATTATCAACTTCATTTTCTGCCCTTCTCATCTCTCCACGTAATGACCAGAGACCCTGGCCATTTCCTAAATTGCTGGGCAGTGATTTTCCCCTCTCTCAGATCCTGCTGCTGGCAGCCTTGCTCAGGTTTTCTATTACAGTTCTGGGAGTCCATTTCCCAGGGGAGGAAATGATTTGCTTCAGTTCCCTCTCCCACACGTGGGTCATTGTGAAAATCTCCCAGTGCATCATCTCAGTTTATCCCAGGTTACCAGTGGGGCAGACTGGCTACCCTCCCTGCTGGAAAAAGCACATGGAGTCTCTAAAAACCAGGGCCAAAGTGCTGATCTCAGATCACGGAATCTGGGCTTGTTTTCCAAACGGAGTGAGCTGGGCTTGTGAGGTGGTGAGGGCTCTGAGGACATTGAGGTGTAGGGGTCCTGTGAGGGATACAGGAGTTAAGGGGCTATGGGGGCATTAAGACTCCTTATCCCTCCTATCTTTCAAAGACCCCCCCATCCCTCCAAGCCAGCAAAGAATGAAATTTCTCGTGTACGTGTCGAGGTACCTCCAACAGGGATTTCTGGCTGCAGTGCCAGGGCTGCTTTCCCACCCCATATCCGTGTCTGGAATGCCATGTGCCCGTGCTGAGGCCGTGCCCTCCCTGTGTCCCTGCAGAACGACTCGTGGGGGAAGCAGTACTCGTACGCCCTGTTCAAGGCCATGAGCCACATGCTGTGCATCGGCTACGGGCAGCAGGCGCCCGTGGGCATGTCGGACGTGTGGCTCACCATGCTCAGCATGATCGTGGGGGCCACCTGCTACGCCATGTTCATCGGCCACGCCACCGCCCTCATCCAGTCCCTGGACTCCTCGCGCCGCCAGTACCAGGAGAAGGTAAGGACAGCCCTGCTGGGGCCGGGCTGGGCTCTGTGCTGTGCAAGGGAGACAGGGGTGGTCTGTGCTGTGCAGGGGGAGCCCGGGGTGGTCTCTGTGCTGTGCAGAGGGAGCCCAGGGTGTCTCTGTGCTGTGCAGAGGGAGCCCAGGGTGGTCTCTGTGCTGTGCAGAGGGAGCCCAGGGTGGTCTCCTTGCTGTGCAGAGGGAGCCCAGGGTGGTCTCCTTGCTGTGCAGAGGGAGCCCAGGGTGGTCTCCTTGCTGTGCAGAGGGAGCCCAGAGTGGTCTCTGTGCTGTGCAGGGGGAACTGGGGTGGTTTCTGTGCTGTGCAAGGGAGCCCAGGGTGGTCTCTGTGCTGTGCAGGGGGAGCCCAGGGTGGTCTCTGTGCTGTGCAGGGGGAACTGGGGTGGTTTCCCTGCTGTCCAGAGGGAGCCTGGGCTGTCAGTGTGAGAGACCAAGGGTGCTGTTCCTTGGCCATTCAACCCCATCCATCCACTCCAACACCCCTCAGGAAGAAACAGCAGCAGGATCAGTTAAGAGCAGGGCAAGGAGATGATCATTGTTGTCCCTGTCTGTCTTTGGACACCAACGTTATCAGTGTCACTGATACCTACAGCTGTTAGTCACTTCTTCCTTTCCCACATCTGATTTCAAACCCCAGGTGAACGCTCCAGAATGTGCAGCTTTTATTTAGCAAGTGCTCTCTTTAAAAGTATCCAGATTATTCGCTCCAGTGCTCCTGAGTGAAGCTGCAGAACAACCCCCAAAGCCCAGATCAAGGCTCGGGAGCTCGGAGCAGGTTCCCCAGGTAGCTGTGGAATTAATGGCACCATTGTTGGATTGCAGAATGGAGGCCACTGCCAGAAATGTCACATCTGATCAGGTTGCCACTGCCACAGTCACCAAATTTGTGACCTAGGCAGGGCATCCAAAAAAAAGCAGCTGCCCTCAGTTGGTGGGGCTGGGGAGGTTTTATGGCCAGGGTCTTGTGGGTACATTTGATCTGGAGATGAAGAACTGTTCCTATTCTGACCCTGCCAGGTACAGTTTAGGTGACAGGGAGCTGTGATTCAAGTGGGGGAACTGTGAGCAGCAGGCACTGATCAGGTGAATTTTAAGTTGGAGGAGGTGGAATGACCTTGGAACAGGTTTGAGACACAGGGATTACAGTGGGATGAGAGCAGGGCAGAGAGGGAGAGCAAAGACCAGAGGCTGACTCATGTTTGGAGAGTAGGGAAGATCCCAAACCACAGTTAGAGCTAAAGGAGGGGGAATGCCCAGGAGAAGAGCGTGGAGGCCTGGGATGCATCCAGAGTTTTAGCTCTGTGTCACAGCTGAGCCGGGCTGATCCCGATGGAGAGCGGGGCACGCCAGAGAGAAGGACACTGCAGCACTGGGAATGCAGGCTGATCAAATCTCAGGATGCAGAGGATTTATTCAAATGTGTTTGAAGTAGCATAGAAGTCAAGAAGCGATCTGCAAAGGCAGCCACCTGGCCAGCCTGGCACAGCCATGCTGCACCTGCAGCACTGGGCACTCCGGGCTCTGGCTCCACACAAGGGCACTGCCTGATCCTGGCACTTGGATTCCACTCAGTGCTTGGGGAAATCAGCCCCCAGGGGCTGCACTGGGGGCGGCAGGGACGGTGGGACGTGTCAAAGCCTTGTTAGAGCGTGGGGATGTGAGAGGGTTAACAGACCCAGGAGAAGAGCTCTGACAAAGGCAGCAGGGAGGGGATTGAAGCAAGGGTGCATTTCCTCTGGCAGGTCCATTTCTCAAGTGATCCTCCGAGGATCAAAGCCTCAGGGATTGAGATCGTTCATTTTCCCCTTGCAAATGGGACAAGTGATGGCCTAAAAACAAATATGTATTTACTTTCTGCATTCCTTAGCACTTGAATAGCCATGATTAAAATGAGGCTGCTGTGTGATTTGCAGCCCAGCAACTCAATTTAGTTCAATCCTCCTGGGACAAAATGTCTGGTGAAGCAGATTAGAGAGAGAATCTCAACAAGTTTGGAGGTCGATTGGTAGAAGCCAGCAGCAATTGCTCTGCTGAGCACCCTGTGGGCTCTGCCTGTCCCTCAGCACAGCTCAGCCTGCGGGGGCCTCTGTGCTGGGAGTGGCCAAGGAAAGGGACACAGTGGAGAGGGACAGGAGCAGCACAAACACAAACAGGAGAGAAGTTACAGCCAGAGCTGTCCCAGGAGGTTGTGCTGTGTGGGACCCTCAGGACAAGGTTCAGGAGCAGGTTTTTGGGGAGGTTTCAGATTGTCCAGACCTCTGCCAAGGCACTGGTTCTTCCCTTGGACAAGCAGGGCTTTGGAAAAGAGGAATAAAAGCCAAGCTGTGCTGTCTGTTGGCTTCAGGAGCAGGCTTGTCTCACTCCACCTTGGATTCTCTGAACACTGGGACATTCAATCCCTGTCCTGCCAAAATCTCCTCCTGCAGCCCCTCACTTTGTGCTGTGCTGGGTTGTGCGAGGCAGGGAAGCTGGGTGGGATCCATGGGGTGGCAGGGGCCATGGAGGATTCAGAGGGAATGCCCCTCCAAGGCAGGGAGGTGCTGAGGTTGCTGAGCCCTGGCCTCCCTTCAGATGGGAACAGCTCTTTGGATGTGTGGGGCTCTCTGGGGGGACTGTTGGACCTCCAGCCCCAGAGGCAAAGTGAGAAGGGACCTGGCTGTCCCATCCGAGTTTCCCGTGCTCACAGAGAGTCAGGAGCTGATCTTCTCTCTTAACCTCAGTCTGGAGTTTAACTCCACAGTGTCCTGGCACCCAAGACTGGCATCTGCTTGCTGCACGTGAGCCAGCAGCACCACAGCTCCTTCCTGAGGGATTCTGACAGCCACGTTTCCCTCGAGTGCTGCTGTGCCTGAATGGATGTGACAGCTCTGACCAAGAGCACGCCCCTTCTCACCCGGAGCTCCTGCCGCTGTCTCAGCTGGGCACGCCTTGCTGGCTTCCCACACCCTCACTGAGCTCATCTCTTCTCCCACATTCACTCTCAGACACATCAGTGGCTTGAAGGAGCTTATTTTTGAGCCCGGTGAGTGCCAGAGCTGGTGCAGGTGCTGGTGGAAGGGGACAAGGACAGGAGCAGGCCTACAGGACCCTCTGCAGCTGTTCATGAATCAGCTCAAGCCTTAACTTGATCACTGCCTGCAGAATTACCCCCCAGCCTGTGTGACTGTGCCTCACAGCAGAGGAAGGCTGTTCCCTGCCCAGGAGAGGAATAAACTAGCCAGATATCTTCATGCTTTTTCCAGGTTCTCCTATTAATTTCTTTCCCTAATCCTGCAGCTCAGCTGGATTAGTATTTCTGTCAAGTCACCACGCACACCCTCTCCTCCTCCCCAGCTCTCTGTAACCTTGAGGGCTGGGGGAGGGTGATGGTGCAGCTGGCTGCAGCTCCTTGGAGCAGGGCAGGGACTCCCTCTCCCATCCCAGCGGATGCAGGGAGGCTCAGCTCCCCAGGTACCCCAGAGAAGGGGAGGCTCAGCTCCCCAGGTACCCCAGAGAAGAGTTTTATTAGCAAAGAGTTTAAAGGGTGATTTGGGCTTTTATATGAGGAAAACCATGAGGAAACTGTGAAATTCACAACTCCAGGGTGCTGCAGAGTCTCATTAACCTCAGAATATTTAGATAAATTGACTTGAGGAAAACCTTTCAGGCGTTGCTGAGTGCCCAGATGGAGATCCAGCCCCTGGCAGTGGGAATCCCAGATCTGCTTTGTCAGTGGGCAGGAGCTGGAATCCTTCTCCACCTGCCCCAGGCACCTGGAGCAGCCCCAGCAAGGGGCAGAGGAGCCCTCACTGAGCTCTGTGGGTTTGCTCAGAGCTGGCTCCCTGTGAGCTTGTGCAGGTAACTGGGAGCACAGATCCTACCTGTGCTCCTGGATAATCCCACCAGTGTGGCAGCCCAGTGCTGATGGTCACCCCTGCCCAAAGAGCTACTGAGCCCTGTGCTGGAGCTGTGGGGACACCTCAGCCACACTCTGGGAGCCACAACTCCCACTGCTGGGGGAAACTTCACATCCTTCACCAGTCTGGGCAGGACTGGAAGTGACATTCTCGAGAAAACTGGTCACCAGGAGGTTCTCAGGGATCATTCCCACATTCCTTGAGCTCACAGGCTTTCTGGAGAATTCTCCTCCTGAGCCAGCACCCACAGTGGAGGTCAGGGAAGCTGCAGAGCTCACTCACTCCTTGGGTAATGTGTGTGAAGGAGAGGGCAGGGAGTGCAGCACTCCAGAAATTAAAGGTGTTTGCAGCACTTAATCAGCTGCAAAATGTAATCAAATTTCCTAATTGGAAAAAGTTTGGAGAGCCTGGCTTTATCCTGTCATGCCAGCACTGGTTTTGTTCCCTCTGTGGAGAGATGGCCTGAGCACCGTTGTGTCCCACGTTACTGTCAGTCAAAACACCCAGGGCTGGTAACAGGGTTGAGAAATGATTTGTAATTGTGTCAGGGCCTGGGGTCCCAGCACTGCCTTTTCTGCTGTCAGGGGGTCTGGCTGCTTTACGGGGTCAGAAGAATGTAAGAAACGGGTAATGAGGTGTTCATCTCAGCCAGAAATTCAGGAATTGTGTCAGTTGTTTTAGGTTTATTTAATCCTTTTCCTGCAAAAAAATCCTGGGTTGGTTATGAAACAGAAATGTTTGTTTAATGAAAACCTGATGGTTTCTCCTCGGAATGTCTTGCGGTGCAAACTGCCTTAACAGTCTGGGGTCAGGTAGTTCCTGTTCATGCAAGAGAATATGTCCTTGGTGGACTTAAACTTGAGAGAAGGCCCACTCTGAAGCTGTGAAACATGTCAGAAACAGTGGGGTTACACTCAGATTCACCATCTCCATCCTGGCCCGGGAACGGAGACAGGGGGTTCCGCCCTGTGGCCACCACGGTGACACCCGCTGCAGGCTGGAGCTGCCAGCCTTGTCCCAGCAAGGGAATGGCCCTGCCTGGGCAGCTCTTCCCATGCCAGGGAGCGGTTTCAAACTTCAGTATCAGTGTGGGAGTTCATGCTGGTACTCGAGCTGTACATAAGTAAATAGTTAAATAAACGAAGAGCTGATGCTGCAGCACGGAGCCTCCCCCAGAGCCAGCAGTGCTGGTCCCTCACTGCACACACTCCCTGCTCCCCTGTCCCCATCTCCAGCCTTTGGGGGCACATTTCACCTTATCTCCCCCAGCCTGCTCTTCTGTGCAGAGCACTGCTGGTACTTTTCCCCATCCCATTCCAGATGTGAACCTGGCATCTCCACAACGTCCTGTGGTATTTCTCAAGACGGACTGACCGTGGCCAAAAGCTCCCTGTGCTGGCCTGGTGCCTTATGGCAGGATGTGGCTCCTCCAGCCCAGGCAGGCATTCCCTTCAGGGGCCATTCCCAGAGAAAACAGGCTGTTCCCATAGCCATGCTGAGCATTCCCTGTGGGATGCACAGGATTAGACCTTGGGGCTCAGCAGCCACACCATTTCATGCAGAGGGGTTTGTCCTGTGGCTCCTGGATCTGCTTTCCTCAGAGCCCTGAGCAGCAGAGATGGTCAGAGGCAGACAAGGGTATCATCAGACTCATCACTGATCTCCCCAGTCCCATGCCACCTCCCAGCCCAGCAATGGGATTGTCCAAAATCCCTGCCTGAGCAGGAGCTGATGCACAGCGATCCCCAGTGCAAGGAAAGTGGGAGAAAAGCTCCAGGAATTGTCTGTACCACAGATCAGGAGCCTGACTCTGGGTAACTCCCCAAGGTACCCTGCAGTAAGGGAAAAAATGTTCCAGGTTTTCCAGGAGGTGACACTTAAAACTCATTTTCTGCTGGCAAAATGAGTGAGGGCCATGGAATCAATTAATCCAGCCTTTGGAAAGGCTCACAAGCAGGACATCACATAAAGCTCTTGCAGAATGGAGGCAGCTCCCAGATTTTTGTCACAGAACTTCTGTTCTTCCCTTAAACCCTTCCTGCAGCCCCATGACTCCATGAGAATGACTGTGTGGAGTGAGAGGTGGGATAGAATAGATCCTGAGGGTGGGAATATGAATGGCTTAAGAGAGAAAAATCCCCAGCAGTCAGTTTGGGGTTTTTTTATGACTTTTTTTTTAAGGTTCCTGAATGCTGGGGAACTGCACTGTTTGACTCCTAATCAGAGAAAATAAAACAAAGATTCCAGTGAGTGCTGTCAGGAGCATCCAGATGGAGAATCCCATGAGCTGATCTTTCCCCTGTGGAGCACTGGAGAGCCCCAGCACTGGACAGGGTGGCTCTTAGCCAGCCTCCAGGTTCATGCTGCTGCCAGAGCACCACAATCCTCCCCTGGAGCCTCCTTCTCCTTCCACAGGTGCATCTGGTGACTTCCATGGGCTCCAGACATGGAGGTGTTTGTGACTGGACTTGAACCCGGTGTCACAGTGATCTCAGCCTAATCCTGGAGGGATCCAAGCAGTGCCAGAGCCATGGGATGTGCTGGGTTGGAAGGGAGCCTCAGGGATCGTGGAGCCCTGCACGGGACACCCCAACAATCCCCCCCTCCCCGTGCCTGCTGGTTTCCATCTTCAGAACTGGGGCGAGGAAAGGGTTGAGCCTGTTCAGCAATTCATCCCTGCCAGGGAGAAGAGGGTTCCTGATGGACATTGAGGGTGTGGAAGGAGTTAAAAATATTTAGTTCGCTTTGGACTGTGAGTGATTGGAACTTTGGTAGGAGGGAAGTGGTGAGAGAGGAAGGAAAGTGGCCAGCTATAGAAGCAAAAATACCCAGCTAAATGGTTTCCTTTTGATATATTAATACCTCCTTCAAGGGCTATTTGAGGAAAGACAGACTCAAGAAAATGAGCTGGGATTTAAATGGGCTGGATTGTCTTCAGAGAGATTTAAATAATTCCTAAATGAGTGTTTTCAGTTGAACTCAGAGAGGCCACTGAGCTCTGAGCACAGGTCAGGCTGGGGACAGGGAGACAAGTGGGAGGCTGAGCAGCCGAGGAGGAGGAGGGAGGAGGGGAAGGGGCTGTCAGGGGAGCCTGGCCATGGCTGGAAGGCAGCAAAGGGACACCAAGTGGCTTTAGAAAGGGCCAGCTGAGCGTGGCATCATCTGCCTGAGGGGCCTTCAGCAACTCCAAGGGAAGGGGGAAAACCCCAGTGAATCTTCAGTTTCTCAGACATGGAAAGAAGGAGTTGATGCTTTCATTTCCGACTGCATCTCTGCCCAGGGGAGAGCTGAGGGCCCCAAAACCCTCCTGGGTGAGAGGAGGGAGCAGCAGCAGAGGCAGGAGAGACAAGAGAATTTCCTTAACCATGACAGAGAATGATGGCTCCTTATTTCACAGTTCACTTTTAAAACCCTGATTTTCATTTGCAGTCAGAAGCAGCACCTTTATTCATGGGGAAGTAAATTTGTCCTGTTTTCCCTGGGAGCCTTATCTGGGGACAGCGGTGGCAGGGGGACTCTGGCAAGGCCTGGGGACACTGCAGAGCAGTAATTTATTGCTCTTTGTTGCAAAGCCATAAATCCACGTTCAGTGGTGGATAAGCAGAGCCCCAGTCACCCCATCCAGCCCGTGCTGATGGATTTTTGGAGCGTGGGGATGTTTTTCCCAGGGAGAAAAGGGCAGCTGAAGATGGACAGCAAGTGGCAGTGGAGGAGAGGACAGGGCCAGGTGGCTGCAGCAGGTGAGGTGAGGCACCTGGTGACAACTGGTCACTGCTTCAGCTCAATCACTGCACTAAAGCTGAGAGCATAAGGGGGATATTTTTGGCAAATCATTTATTCAACAAAAATGCAGCATTAAAGCAAGCAGAGCTCTTTGTGGATTTTAGATTAATTTAATAAACTTGAGTCAGCAGAAGCTCATGGCTGATGATTTCCCATTCCAGAGTGAGAGTTCCACATACCCTGTGCCTGGTTTGCCAGGTCCCATGGCTCTCTCAGGCTGCAGGGCCTCTCCGGTGGTAGGAGACATCTATGGTTAGATGAGCCCAAACCCCTTCAATTTCTGCTTGCAAGACCATAACCTCCAAAATTCTCTTTGGGTGAGCTCCCCACAAAGGATCTGCAGCTTTTCACTTCCTTTCCCTCCCTCATTTCCTCTGGGCTCCCAGCACGTCCTGTCCTGCCACAGCCAGTCCCTACAGAGCCTGGTGATGAAGGGCAGGGGTCGGTGCCAGTGGGGAGGTGGTGACTCCCCTGCCTTTGGTCAGGCTGGAGGGATCAGAAATATTTCCAGGCAGCTCCCGTGCTTTGGGAATGCCAGGAAGCCCCGAGTGTGCCCTCTGCCACCTTGGCTCCTTGGAGTGCTGCCCTCTCGTGCGTGGTGCAGGTGGAGCTGGCAGTGCCAGCACGGGCTGTCCCTGGGGCAGCAGCGGGGCTGTAACCAGCACAGCATCACTAATCAGGCTCTCCAGCTCAAGCTGCTCTAAGGGGACATTCAGGGACACATTTAGCAGGGAGAAGAGGGGAAATGGGGCTGGGAAAGGAGCAGCACAGTCCTGTTGTCAGCAATTAGTGCAGTATCCTGTACTGCCACCAGCAAAAGGAGAGTGACCATTCCCTGCACACACCTTGTCCTGCAGCACCTGCAGGGCAACAGGAGCCTGGTGCAGCCCTTGGGGGGCTCACAGAAGGCACCATTCACCCCCAAAGCTACTGTGCCAGCAGTCAGAGTGTGCCCTTGTATTGCGTTCGAACTGACACCATGGAAATGGGAATTGGGAAAATGGGAATTTAAATGGGAATTTACCATCAGGTAAAAATGTGGATGGGTTTGGGTGAGTGCTTGAGGCACAGGAACGAAGAAGAGGGGAGGAAAGTCATGGTAAAGCAGAGGTTCCATCATGGCAAGGCTGGCAGGAGCACAGAGGGGAGAAGCAGAAGGCCGGGTACTGCAGCTTCAGCCAAACTCGGGACGCTGATCCCGGGTGTGCCCCTCTGTTCTGCTGTGAGCACACATCCAGGGCAGGAGCTGTGCTTCCCCTGGGACAGGCCCTGGGGCTGCACTTCTGGGACACCTCTGGAGCCCAGCTGGCCACTGTCCTGCCATGTGCTGTGGAAAAACCTTCCTTGGTGGCACGTGGACTCTCCTGCTCCATCCTGCACACTCCTCACCCAGCACTGCTGAGTGTCCTCCCAGCCAGGCACTCCTTCCTTAGCCCTGCTCCCAGCTGGGGCTGTGTGAGGGCAGCTCAGGCTGCTCAGCAGCCAGGGAATGAGCAGCTGTCTCCACAGGGCTGAGGATGAGGATGAAGTTAAACCACGGGGAACATAGCAGGGTGGGCTGTGAATCGGACGGGCCCTCCCTCCTGCTCCAGATGGCCCTGCTTGAGGAGAAGGAAGCAGGGCCAGCACCTGCTGCCCGTCAGCAGCCCCGTTTGTGGCACATTCTGGGTTATAACTGCTGCCCCTCATGTCTCCCTGCTCAGTACAAACAGGTGGAGCAGTACATGTCCTTCCACAAGCTGCCCGCCGACATGCGGCAGCGCATCCACGACTACTACGAGCACCGCTACCAGGGCAAGATGTTTGATGAGGAGAGCATCCTGGGAGAGCTGAGCGAGCCCCTGCGCGAGGTAAGAGGGCAGGGAACGGGCAGGGCACATTCCTGGCAGCTGTGCAGCTCCTGGGGAGGGAGCTCAGAAAGCTCCCACCTTGTGTATTTGGCTAAAACTCGGCATGGAGTGCTGGCCTCACCTGTGCCCCATCCACCAGCTCTAAGTGGGGGAGTCACAGGAAGAAGGAGCCTTCAGAGAAGCCCCCTTTCCTTCCCAGCTGAAGCCTGGCAATGCAGGTTGTCCCTGCTATGTCACCAGTGTGTCACCCACCAGCTGCAGAAGGGGCCTGCCTTCTGTCTTTGGCCCCCAGCAATGTTCTCTCTCCACAGGAGAGAGAAGAGCTGAGCAAGTGCCAGCCAAAATTTAAAACTAGTTTTACTGAAGTCTCAAAGGGCACCCCTCTGAAAACACCTACGGGGGGAAACAGATGCTAGCCCAGCTCTCTTTCTTCCCGCTCCAGTTCTCCCCGTCCCCATGGGGCGCTGTGCTGGGGTGATGGGCTCAGCACCACCTCCTGAGCGGGAGCTGCCAGGACACAGAGCAGCTCCTGAGCTGTCACCCTGCGAGTGACACGGAGCCCTGGGTGGCCACAGCCCGGCTGTGCTGGCAGCTGAGCACCCCAGCTGGGCTTTCTTCAGCCAGGCTTGGCCATCCAAACTCTGCCCAGTGCCCGCTGAGTGCCTCTCCCTCCTCTCCTGCCCTTACTCTCCTCCTGGGCTCATCCGTGCTGTTTAACAGTTCATTGACAAGCAAGGGCAGCAGAGAACGAGGGGCTGCCGAGGTGAGTTCGACACCTGCTCAGAGAGGAGCCCTGGCCTTTGTCAGACGGCATTTCAGCGCTGCTGTGCTCCCTCACAGCCCGAGGTTTCCTGCAGAAACAGGAATGCTGTGTGTATTCGGAGGTTGGAGTGCTGTCCCTGCTCAGGGGAGGCAGAGGGCTGAGCGTGCTGGCTCCAGCTCTGCTCCGTGCTCTGAGCATCCGGAGCCCCTGCAGCCTGCACCAGGGCAGCCAGCCCAGGGCACAAACACTTTAAATGTACAGCTCAGTCGGGGATCTTCCCAGGTGCTGACTAACCCTGTGTGTGTCCTCTGTGCTCCCTGTCCCTTTCCTCTTCCTCTTCCTCTCTCTCCTTCACACCACACGTGGTCAGGAAATCATCAACTTCAACTGCCGCAAGCTGGTGGCCTCCATGCCCCTGTTTGCCAACGCAGACCCCAACTTTGTGACGTCCATGCTGACCAAGCTCAAGTTCGAGGTGTTCCAGCCCGGGGACTACATCATCCGGGAGGGCACCATCGGCAAGAAGATGTACTTCATCCAGCACGGCGTGGTCAGCGTGCTCACCAAGGGCAACAAGGAGACCAAGCTGGCTGACGGCTCCTACTTCGGAGGTGCGTGCGCTCGGGCATTCCCGGATCCACGTGGGACTGACCCCCAGCACCTCCTCCTCTGTCTCTGAGAGGTGACTGGTGGGCACTGCAGAACCTGGTGATAAATAACAGCAGAACACAGCGGGGGAACTTGGTTCTTGCAGGTTCATTTCTTTCTGACAGATGGGTGAAGCTGAGAACCTAAAGGTAAAAAACAGCCTGTTCTCACTTCTGCAGGCACATTCCTACCTCTGCTGTCTGGCATCTCCCCCATGAGGGGCTGGATAAACACAGAGAGAAAAACAGTCCCTCCTCTGCCCTGCCTGTGGCTCAGCAAAGTGTCCTGGGGGTCAGCAGGCAGGCAGAATGTACGAGCAGCAGAGTTCTGGAGCAGTGGGACCAGCAGGAGGCTGGGAAGGATTTAGGGCATTGCTCTCATGAGAAGCACAAAGCCCCCTCTCCTGTCAGAGCCCGTGCAGAGCTCTGCCAGACAGGCAGGTTGCAGGACAAGCTCTGACTGCAGCACCTTTGAGGATCTGCTGAGGGGAGACAGAGCAAAACCTGCCTTGCCTCCCCCCCTTTCCTCTAAAGAATTCCTCCTGTGCATTTCCCACACTCCTGTCACTCCCGGTTCACGTGCACCTCGCCTGGGTACAAGGATTTTGCAGCCTGGTGTTTGCAGTTGGAGGGTTGGAGTCAGGATACCCTGACTGACAGATGGGATTGAGCTTGCCCATGACATTCCATCACAGCTCCTCACACACGCGGCACTGTCTCCCAAGCAGCATTTCCTTGGGAAAGCTGCCTAGGAGCACGCTCGTGACCTTGTGCTGCTGCTGTACCAGGGCTTTGGGTAGGCTCAGCATGAATCCAGGGAATGGTGCAGGAGAATTGGCACCCAGCACACCCAGGGAGCAGAGTGCTGTCGCTCTGCAGCTCACGCCATCTGTCCTGAAGTGCCTGTTTCTGCTGCCCAGACTCCGTAAGCAGTGCAAAAGCAGGATTTGGGAGCGCTCTGCTGAGTGTTGAGGGAGCTGTGGTTGAATGCAGGGCTTTGTGTTGTGCAGCCAGCTGAGCTCCATGACAGCACTGTAAATACACCCAGAGCTGGGAGGTGCCATTGACAGTGCTTGTGGCACTGACATGAAAACCTTTGCAAACTGTGGCAAGACAAATGTCCCAGGTACAGGGATCAAAATTACAGCCGGGCACCAAAGGCACACATCAGCCCAGAGCCTCTCTACAAATCTAGAGAGAATTGGCTTCAATGAGAGCACGGCTCGACCTCCTGCTCCCCAGTGCCCAAAAGGAGCTGGAGAAACACAACTCCTCCAGTGTGAGCACACAATGCTGCCTTTGATAATCCCCCAGAACAAACCTTGGCTGCCTGGCTGGACCAGCCGAGCCCTGAGGGCAGCCGTGCGTGGCAGCTGCCCCAAGCGAGCCCCCGGTGCTTTGAAATGTTGGAACGTTGACTCTGGCTGGGTTTTCTGTGGGAGGGCAGTGCAGGGAGGGATGCAGGGGTGCTGCTGCTGGTGTCCATGGACTGTCTCAGCCTCTCTCTGCTTGCAGAGATCTGCCTACTGACGCGCGGCCGGCGCACGGCCAGCGTGCGCGCCGACACCTACTGCCGCCTCTACTCCCTGTCCGTGGACAACTTCAACGAGGTTCTGGAGGAGTACCCCATGATGAGGAGAGCCTTTGAGACCGTGGCTCTGGACAGGCTGGACAGGATTGGTGAGTACAGGGGGGAGTTTCCTTCCTTAGGTGCTGCCTTGGCAGCTCTTGCCCAGGCTTGGTGCTCAGTTCTGTGCTGGAGTTGGGAACTGAAGGAGATCCCAGCCTGGCCCTCCTTTCCAACTTCAGCTCCCTCAAGGACCCCAAGTTGAGGTTGGATATTAGGGAGAAATCCTTCCCTGTGAGGGAGGTGAGGCCCTAGCACAGGGTGCCCAGAACAGCTGTGGCTGCCCCTGGATCCCTGGCAGAGCCCCAGGCCAGGTTGGACACTGGGGCTTGGAGCACCCTGGGATATTGGATGGTGTCCTTGCCCATGGCAGGGGCCCTGGACTAGGTAAGCTTTGAGCTCCATTCCGACCCAAACTGTTCTGGGATCCTGTGATTGTTACAGCTCATGTCGACCCATCCAGTCCTGTGGGAGACACAACCTGTGCTGCCAAGATCCTTGTCCAGGAGTCTCCTCCCTAGCTAAAGACCAGCATAACATTCCTTGGTCACAGCCAGAGGTGTTGAACAGAGAGGGATGAAGTGACTTGTGCAAGGTCATGCCAAGAAGGCTGCAGAGCTGAGGAGCGATTTGGGGTCCCAGTCTAACTCCTTATCCATCCCTTCACAGTGCTTGCATTCCCACTGCTTTCCGCATGGGAAGCTCAGTGGAGCTCTGAGCACAATGCAGAGGGCCAGGAGGGTGATGAGGTGAGGGGGGTAGGGACTAAGCTGGCATCCCAGCAAGAGGTGCAGTGCCTCTGCGGCTTCTTCTGCCAGGAACATTTGGTTCTGTCATCTCTTTACCTGCTGCAAATCAGGAGTGCAACCCCTGAGAAAAAGGCTCTGGGCTGAGGACACAATTTAGCAAAGCCCAGGCTAGTGAGGCCCTGGTGGAAGTGGCAGTAGGCCCAACACTTGGGTTATTTCAATGAGGCTGTAGAAACCACAGAGAAAATGTAAAATCAGTGCAGGGATGGGCCAGTTCGGCTTTATTTAAAGTTCTGCAGGTCTGGGTGCTCAGTGCTGCTCAGCTTTCCAGCCTGGTGCTCTCTGGGACTGTGGGATCAGGTGGGCAGAGCATCCTGTTCTTCCTGTCCTGTGCTCCGTGCCCCTGCACACGGAACTGAAATCCATGGAAAATTCTGAGCCAGCACAGAGAACCTCACGTGCTTCTTCCCCAGGGAGAACTCGCCTTCCACAGGCAGCTGCAAATGTCAGCATAAGGTCACAAGGTGACACAGAGCAAGTGGAACAACAGGCCCTTTGCTGCAGGGCTCTGCCACAGCCCCCCCTCCCATCTGCTGTGCCCTGCTTGCCCCTGGCAGTGCCCCTCGAGAGCTGCCTGTTCCCTTAACCCTGCACCTCAACTGTCGGGAAATGGCTCCTCCACAGCCCTTTGTGGTGCCCAGCTCTGCTCAGCTGGAACTGCCCCACAGATCCCCTGCTGGAGCTGGCAGATCCATGGAATTCCCTGTTTGTAAATAAGGTATTTCTTCCCTTCCTCTGGAATGTGCACAACACAGAAGGAGCAGTGCAGTAGTTGTGTACCAGCCTGGGACTTCTGAAGGAATTCAAGGTTCCTGCATTCTGCTGAGACTCTCTGGAAGTGCAGGAATCAGTTCTGGAGGAGTGAAGTTGATCAGCAGCAGTTCTTGAAAAACAGGGATGAACAGGAGCTGGACTATTTTTGCTCCTGTCCCATCCAGTTCTGGATCTGTGCACAAGGAGGAAGCAAATGGAAGCCTCTTTCCAAGTCACTGGTGCATTCACTGGCTCCCTTCTGCCCAGGTGCCACTCACTCCTGTCCTTGTGCCACTCGCTGCCACAGCGAGGACAGGAGATGGTTCAGAGGGCCCTGCCACTGTTCTGGTACCAGGGTAAGATCATCCAATATTCCCCCTGTGCATCGAGGGAGCAGGGAGGAGACTCTCAGCCCATCCAGCCCCATGGAGAGAGATGTTTATGGGATTTCTGGCCACTGGGGCACTTGGAAAGCATGGTCTAAGAGTTGTGGGGAGCAGAACGAGCAGGCAGGGGCTCAGCCCATGCAACAACAAGAGCAGGATTGGTTGATGGAGGCCTGATGGGCACTCCTACGGCAGGGCTGAGCAGTTTGGAAGTAGTGGGTGGGCACAGGGGAGGGGAGGAGAGGAGCCAGAGCCCCCCAGGCTGTGCTCCCGTGGCTTCCTGCAGAAACATGGGCTGTGCACAGAGCTGTCAGGCAAAGAGTTGAGGGCTATCCTTGAACCTCTGCTCTTCCTGGGAATTGATGCTGCCTGGATTGGGCAGGAAGGGGTTCATCTCCATCACTTGACAGAGGCTGGGATGCTACAAAGATCTGTGGCCCTGCCTGGCTCTGAGAACTCCTCAACCTGCAGAATATCACACACGTGACACTCCGCAGGCTCGTTGGAAGGTTGCCACTCAAAGAAACTGGGCTGATCACAGATTAATGATCATTTTCACCCTGATGAAATCAGCCCTCTTGCTTGTTCCTGCCCAGGCTGTGAAGCTGTGTGTGGTGTTTGTGAGTTGCAGTGGTGCTGTGCTTTGTGCAGTGAGTAATTCTCTGTCTGGAAGCGCCCCAGTTTGCCGTGCCCTGTTACGTAAGTCACACCATTCTCTTCCTGCCTGCCTTTGAAACTGGCTTCTTTCAGTGACCGCTGGAGCTTAAAATTAGATTTCCACAAGTATTTTCACTTGTAAAACACCACCACTTAAATGCTCATTGAAAGTCAGCCCAGCACAGGTGGTGAATGCTGTCAGACCAGGGCCCAGGAGCAGCGGGGATGGTGCTGTTCCACCACTCCATGTGCTCTGATACATCCCAGAAATGCCTGCCACCAGGTCCTCCCCACCCACAGCAAGGTCACTGCTGAGAGCTGAAAGCCTCCTAGGAGCCAGAGGTTTTTTTCTTGTTTCTTCTTTTCTTTTTTCTTGTTTTCATTTTCTTCAGTAATTTTTTGCCACATGGTTTGAAATGTGTTTTCTTTGAATGCCACTTGCACATGTTTTGATACAGGGATCCCAGTTAAGGAGAGGATTAAAGATGCCTTGAGTTTCCTCCAGGCACTGCAGATGCTAAAAAAAACAAACAAAAGCCAAAACAACACAATCCCAGCCTCTAAATATAATTTATGATATTATTGCAGTATGAGAGTGTCTGTTCAACATACTACAGCAGTAGACATTTTAAAAGCTTTGTCTATAAGCAAGCCACAAAAATAGCTGTTCCCAAACTTCTCGTGACCACACTTGTGCAGCTGAGAAGCTGCTGGGTTTGCAGCCCTGCTTGTCCAGTCCTGAGTGATCCCTTGGGCTGTGCTGGGCCAGGTGAGGCAGCGAGGAGAGCGGCTGGGAGCGGTGCCGAGCTCTGCCACGCATCCCCTGCTCGTCCTTGTGCTGCCTTTGCTCCCAGCCTCAGTTCTCACCCCTTCTGCAGGGACACTGACGCTCACAAAGGGGGAGCGTGGATGTTCCGGGGCTGCTCCCTTGGGAAGGGATGACACTGAACACAAATAACTCCAGCCAGGCATGCTCAGCTTTACACTTTAACCAAATGAAGACCCAGGTTTGTTCAGTGGACAGAGTAACCCCCACAGACCTGCAGAGGTGAGAGGAGCAGCATGGTCTGGCCATCAGGAGGTAAATACAGAGATACAGAAGCAGTTCCTATTTGAGGCTGCTGACCCAGTGCTGCAAGGAAACAATTGCCTGTGGCCCAGGCGTGCAGAGGGTGTGGGGTTTGGGACAAAGCTTCCCTTCAAATTCCCAGCCCTTGGCACAGGTGGGGTTTCTTACCCAAACCCTGAGAGGGAACACAGGTGCTCCTTGTGTGGTGTCCACTCTCATCACCTGAATAACCACAAATGGAGCTGTCCGTTGTCAAGATGAAACACGAGGAATGGGACCAGCTTGCTCTTGTAATTGATTTATTGCTCAAGTAGCCAGATAAGATAATAAGATCAGTCTGAAGGTGTGAGATTTGGAGAGGAGCAACAAGTCAGCCATAGCTCACAGGTTTCTTCCTCACACACCAATATATAACATTTTGGTCCAACAGACAATTGACACAAAACTTGTTTCTACTTAATAACCTCTCACCTTTGCCTAATTCTGCCTCACTGCCTCTGTCTCTTAGCCAATAAACTGACAGCTCATGTACCCACACACACTTCTATTATCCTATAGTCACATTATTAGAGTTTAAACTTCTCACTGTTTTAATTTCTTACTTACTGAAGGCATATTCTTACAACTATAGGAATGTAAGTTCATCATTTTTCTACTTCATGTCTGTGTACCTTTATCATTACATTAACCCAAGCTCTTTCCAAGGCTGCAGCTTGAACCCTTCAGCATCTGTGGAAGTTTCTATTTCTCCATTTCCCAGTCCATGAGGAATCAAAGTTCAAGTGCCACTTGTGCATTTCTGTGGCTGGAAACCCTCTCCCTTCAGCAGCACAGCGTGGGGATCTGGGTTTGCTCAGCAGAGAGGAAAAGGCTCTCGTTTTTGTGTGGTTTGTCTCTCCTGAGGTGGCTCAGGTGAGTCACACCTAGCCCAGGGTGGCAGCTTGGACTTCAGCAGGAACTGAGTATCTGAATTTTCCTGCTGGCCTGGACTGGGGGCATTTTGTGTTTAGCCTAAGGAAAGGGGTCAGTAACTCAGCAGCCATGGGGGAATGTCAGTTCAGCTTAGTGCAGGGGCCCTGGCAGCCCTGCTCACCTGCACAAAGTGCCATTTCTCCTGTCACTCCAGAGGGGGACACAGCCCCAGCCCCCCCAGCAGGAGCAGTGTGGGGTGCTGAGGAGCTCTCAGGAGCCCCATCTTTGACCTTGACCTTGCTCTTTGCTGTCCCCAAAGCTCTTTGCTATCTGCATCGAGATAAAACACCTGCTCAGGTAACGTTTTACCCTTCCAGCGCTTTTAGAAATCATTTTCAACCCTCTTTTTAATCATATGAAGAAGGAGCTGTTCACCAGTGACACCTCTCTCCCCTTGGGGGCCTCTCCCTGCCTTGAAGGCATTCCAGGAGCTGTCTGCAGCCAGCCCACACTTCAGAGCTGACAGTGCCAACGTGTTCAGAGTGTCCCAGAGCAGGTCCTGTCACAGCTGTCAGCTCCAGCAGGGCTTTGGGGGCCTGCAGGGACTTTGGCACTGGTCCCACTCAAGGAGAAGGCACCTCTTTGCTTCAATCTGCAGTGATGAGTGAGAGCCAGGAGCCCTGAGGGTGTCCCAGCCTTGGGAATGCCACTCACCCCTCCATGGAGAGTCACAGTTTCCCCAGCTCTAGATATTCCATTTTTTAAATTATTTTTTAAAAAATTTTCATTCTGCAAAGCTCTGTGAGGAGTGGGAGGGAAGAGCTTCATTTATCTGGGGCGTAGCTGTGCTGAGACTGATCAGCTAACGTTATTCCGTGTGTGTTGGACCTGCAGCAGTGGGGCTGTGCTCTGGCTGTGCACAGGGATCCCACCCATTTGGGGACAATTCAGGTTATGGAAGAGGGGGACCAGTCAGAGAGAGGCCTGAGCTGTACAGGGAGGGAAAACTTCCCCTAGGGAAGAGAGGAATTGTGCATTTCAGAGGTAGCCCCAGAGTGAAGAGGATCCAGCAAGGGAGAAAGGGAAGGATGGGATGCAGGGAGAGCTGCCCTAGCAGGTGTCACAGCTCACACATCCGTGGATTTTCACAGCCAGCCTCTCGGGGATGTCACTCCGAGTTTCCAGAGCAGGCTTGGAAGTGTTGAGGATGGTCTTCGAGCTGATCCAGCTGGCTTTGTTGAGCTCTTTGCCAAGGGCTCCTTAATTACGAGCAGAAAACTTCCCACAGCAGGGAACGCAGCTCAGCGGGCTCCACCTGCATCTTCCCAAGAGGGAAAGAGCCCATACTCGGGAGCTTAAGAATCATTTGGAACTCCCTGTTCCAGCTCATTTCCCTGGGCACACGGACCTTGAGACCATTGCAGGAGCTGGAGTGGCTCCTCCCCTGGGGGCTGAATTCCTGCAGGAGACAGTTTGGGAACCCCTGGCGAGGGAGGCACAGCCCCAGGGCAGGGCTGGGATGTGCAGCCAGGACCCAAACCTAGCCCTGGGGGCCGGGAATAATCGGTGGAGACCTGAGAAAAGCGCCCGTGTGGTGGGAGCAGCCACGCTGACAGCAGGGCAGAAGGCAGCCTAATAAAATGAGATTATTTCAAATGCATGCAAATTCGGAAAGCAGTTTAATGACCTGAATTCTTAAAGTGCAGCCAGTGGGCTCGGAGAGAACTGAAAGGAGAAAGGAACAGAAAGTCACAGCTAATTTCCCCTGTGTCTGGGCAGAATTTTAACAACAGAAAGCTAATTTTGATTGTTTGATAGAAGAATTATTGTTGAGTGCTGGCTCCTTTTATGAAATCACATGAGCATTTCTCCCTGTTCTTTTGTGTGCTATCTAGAGTTGAGGAAAATCTGACTTTGCAGTTCTTAATTAGGGGAGCAACATCTGTTTGCTTCGTTTCCATAATTTTGCATACCCCACTCCAAAGCACCAGGAACTTTGCTCTGAACACCTTCAAGGCTCAGGAGCGGCTCCCTGTGGGGGGCAGAACCTCACCTCAGGGGCTGCCCCAGAGCCAAAGCCATCAGCTGCATCCCCCTCCTCCTGGCCAGGGGCTGGCACTGGGAATCCAGAGCAGGAAAAGGGTTTGGGAGCTGGTTCCTCAATGCCATGAGGAGGAGGAATAATCTCAGCACCAATCTTGGCCCACTCCTCATGCCGGTGTCTGTCTCGGGCAGCCCTGCCAGGGAATGTTTGTCCCAGCAAGATTCGGTGCCTGTTCCCATCTGGGGCTGGTGGGAAGCAGGGTTTTCTCCAGAAACAACCCACAGGGTTTCTGTTGGCGTGTGGAAACACCATGTAAATGAGGCAGTTCATTCAAATGGGAAGTCAATTAATTTTTCAGTTTGCCAACCAGTTACAATTTTGAAAAATGGTTTTGAAAAATTCCTCTCCCCTTCCATGGCTGGAAGAACATTTTCAGTAATCTTCTGCAGTGTTCTGGAGGAGAAATTTGATATTTTCTTGGCAAAGCAGAAGAGAAAAATGTGACCTAATGAAACAGTTAATAGAGACAAGCTGGGCTCAGGAAAACAGTGAAGTGTAATGTGATTTCAAAGGAAAAACTGAGTGTTCTGGTTTAAAAAACAACAAAAAGGATCATTTCAAGGTTTTTTACTGGTATTACTTCATCAGCTCAACACGAGCCCAAGGAGCTTTGATCAAACCATTTCCAGTAAATGTTGGGCACGTTTGGAAAGCCTCAGCACGGTCTGTGCCAGGGAAGCTGGGGCTGGGAGCCATCCCTGGTTTCTCCTGGGAATCAGCGCGGGGATCACCCCAGAGGCACAGCCAGGACACTGGAGGAGTGGGATGAGGTGTGCTGAGGCTGCTCTGGAGCTTTGGGAAGCTGTTCCTCGCTGCCTGCTCCGGCCCTTCGCCTCTGCCTGCTGCTCTGAGGCTGGCGTGTGTCCCCAGGCACAGCCTGACCTTGCAGTGCTGCAGGAGCTGCACATGGCCCATGCTGGGATTTGTCCCTTCAGCTGCAGAAAGGCAGCAGAACGAGTCCCTCTGGGAACGCTGCAGCTGAATCCCTGCGGAATTCCGGACCCTCACCTGCCGGCTGGAGTCTCTGCTCTCCACTCACCCTGTGTGTCTCTAAGTTCCGTGGGGAGCTCATTTCCTGTGGTTTTAGCAATTCTGGGTGGGAATGACTCTGTGTGAGGATGTTTGGTGACCTCCTGTGCCAGCCACTGCCAGACCCTGTTGGAAGGTGACCCTGGGGCTGGCTGTGGGAAGGACTGGGATCTGTCCTTTAGGGGTATCCAGAGCTATTCCAGTCCAGCATACAACAAACAGCCATTGGAGAATACCTACACGTGCACTTCCAGCCCCTGGAATGACTTCAGCAGCTCCAAACTCTGCTTCCCTGCCTTCCTTGCCTTTCCTGCCTGCAAACCCTGCCTTCAGGACATCCTTCCAGGCTAGGATCTTGCTCTGAGTGGGGAAAAAAAGCCTTTCTGCCTTTTTTCTTTTTTGCAGGGAGTTATTTGCAGTAGGTAAAACAGCAAAGCATTGGGCATCTCATCCCATTCCCCACAGCAGCCATGTCCTGGCTGCACATCTAGGGTCAGAACTCTGGCAGCATTTCCAGAGCCCTCAGAGCCACCCTCTGTCCTTTGTGGGGTGACAAAGCTTCATTTGAGACAGGGAAGGGAAGGAAAAACCTTCAGCACGTTCTTGCAGTTACAGTCAGATTGTGCCTTCCTCTTTTACGGGCTCGGCTCAAATCCCTGTCTGCTGTTCTTCCTGCAAGGGAAGGGAACACTTGGGAACAGCTTCCTTTGTCCCTGAGCTGCCTCCTGAGCTACTGTGAAATCACCTCAGTTCGGAATGTGCTGTCCTTACCGATGTTCTTCATGGGGATGTTTTCTGTGCTTTCCATGCCTTGCAACAAGAACTAAACACATTTTACCTTCCCAGCCTCATGGTGGGAGTGACGGGGATCTCCCTCCTATTTTACAGTTTCCTCTCTATTGGTGTGCAAGAACTGTTTCACCTTGTTCTGCTGGTGGATTTGGAACTCAGCGAGTTCTATCCAAGACTCTGCTGTTTCAGAGTGGCTTTTTAGGAGACCGGGGTGCCACCTTTCCTCTCCAGTGTTATTCCAGCTCTCTCCTGCCAGATGTTTGATTTTCCATTTGGCTGGAGTAAGAGGCACGTCCTTAAACTCTTGCTCTTTTATCTGCTGCACATTTAAAAGCTACATCATGCACTAAAAACGAACAGCCATCTGGATGTCATCTAGATGTGCCTCAGATCATAAAGATCTGAGAGTTGGCTGGGTGGGATCAAAAGGAAATTGCTCTGGTGCCAGGCCCTGCCCTGCCCTGGTTGGCTCTGTCCCCTCAGCCCAGGAGTGCATCCCTCCGGTGCCAGGTGCATTCCCAGGCTGGACAAATCATTCCACCGCATTTTCCAGCCCATTGCAAGGGCAAAGAGCTGAGTTAAGCCCTGGATGCAGGCTGGGAATCCAGCTGGTGCTCCAGGGGCACAGCCGGGTTTGGACAGGAGCTGCAGGAATGCCTGAGGGTCTTACCTGGCCCAGCTGAGCTCACCAAGTCATAGAATAGAATCACAGAACCATTCAGGTTGGAAAAGGGAAGTGGGGCAGGAAGCTCCTTGGAAGCCCCCATGCTCTGCCCCCCACAGTGACCCTTTCTCTCCTCCCTCCCTCCCTCCTCCACAGGCAAGAAGAACTCCATCCTACTGCATAAAGTGCAGCACGACCTCAACTCGGGGGTGTTCAACTACCAGGAGAACGAGATCATCCAGCAGATCGTGCAGCACGACCGGGAGATGGCTCACTGTGCCCACAACGTGCAGGCCGCCGCTGCTGCCGCCTCCACTCCCACGCCGGTCATCTGGACGCCGCTGATCCAGGCGCCGCTGCAGGCCGCCGCCGCCAC